CCCCCTTCTCTCCCTCGCCCCCTTGAGTCAGTCAGTCAGTATTCAGTCAGTCATATATCAGACAAGTGCATGGAAGTCGGGTATGAGTGGCGTGTCGATGCAGTGCACCACCCCGTTGTGGCAGCGGAAGTCGATCTTGTGTGGCAGGATGGTCGATGAACCGATGTGGACGCGGCGGGTCAGGTCTCTGAGGGAACCAGCGGTGCTCACCGACACCACCTACAGAGCGACAGAAGGACAGAAAAAGGGGAGGGGAGGAAAGCGGTTCGCAGGCAATGTGTCCGTGCCGGTTCGTGTGGTGCGTCTCCCCAGGGGTTGTCACCTGTCCTCCGAGCGTTTCCAGCTCCTCGGGCGCTTCCCTCGGGGCGTTGTATTCCTTCCAAGGCTGATAGTCACTGCCCACCAAATCCCTGGACGGAACAACCAAGACCACACAACATACGCTACGCACTCTGGCGCCGCCCTCACATCCCGGTGTGTGCGTCCCTCTCTCTCACCTGAGCAGCCATCGCTGTCTAACGGCGTGGTGCCGCAGGAACAGCGCCAAGCTTTCGGTGTCGTTGACAAGCCTCTCGATAGATCTGTCCTCCACCTGATGTGGTGTTGTCAGCGCATAACGAACGCACCGGAAGAAACGCGCACAGCGATACGATACTCGGACGAGATAGTGGGTTGCATCACTTGGTCTCTCGCCCAGCCTACCTTTGCGAGTGCGTCGTCGGTGGGTGCGAAGAGTGTGTAGGGGCCGGGCAGTGAGAGCTCGTGTAGGACGGGCATCATCTCGGGGTGCCGGAGGAGGGCGCCAAACCGCTTCAGGTACGGTTGGTTCAGACACATGTCCACCACCGTCCGCCTGCACACACACACACAAAAGACAACACAAGAGTACTCGGCTTGGCCAGATAGATGTGCAGATCTGTGCCACCCACCCGCTCTACCTGACCTTCTTGGGTAGAACTCCGACCACCAGTATGCCCGCCTGTTGAGGACCTCCTTGTCTTGCGTGCGTCGCCTCACATCGATGTTGCGGTTGTACCACCGCTGCCCGCCGATGGCCAACACACATCTGGGGAGGACGGGGGCAGATGGCGGTGGAGATGACGCATTCGATGGACTCGGGGGGACCAACGATGTCAACAGGGCAGTGCGAGGGCGGCGAAGCATTGAAGGGTCGGTCGGTCGGTCGGTTAAGGGTTTGACGAGACACCTGTCCCTAAGCCCGGCGCTACCTTCCGGCGCAACCAGGCATCTTCTCTGTCCACAGCACACACCAAACAGGCAACAGGCACATGCAGAATGCATGCACAAGGCCTATCTGCCCTTCCCATGGAACCCATGTAGCTGCTAGTCTGAGAAGTCAGCGTCAAGCACCCACTGCTCCATCTCATGCAACTCATATATCAAGTCATACTCACCATCAAACTGACTGGGT